TCCTCCATGAACTTATCATACAACATGCTATGGGATTTTAGTGGAATTCCCAAAGTAGTCTTGATTTTGAAGAGAAATATATACTGCTTCATATGTAACTTTATAGAAAGTAGAATTAGACTATATAGAAATGCCATTTTTTTCTTTGCCCTTGAATTTCAGTTTTATCAACATAATGTTCAGTACTATGTCTTGTAAAGTAGTTTTGATGACTATTGAATTAGATTTGCATGAAAGATAAATGAAGAGGCCAATTGTTTTCAGTCTCTGAGCCTCGTGCATTCTGCATCATTCATTCCAAATTACCTTTCTGTTTTTTTTTTTTTTCATTATGTGCTCAGTGTATTTTTTGCTTTGTTTCCCAAAATTTAAAGTTCCAGGTTTTAACCCATCCTCAATTTAAATAAATGTGTTGACACTTTTTGGTCGGTTTTTTATTTTAACATGATGTCAGTGCATACTTCAATAAGATGTTCTATTTCTCTGTTTAAGGTTCTTGAAGGGAGCTTCAAGCATTGATCAACATTTCTATTCAGCGCATTTCGATAAAAATATACCTGTAAGTGCCCCAATTGCTCAATGCCATGAGTTTTGTTTTTAATCCCAGACATACATAGTCATTGGACGTAGAATACAAAATTAAGACTTTCTGGGTTTTAAAATGCAGTTGATAGGGTCTCTTAAGAGATTCTGCATAAAATGTTTAGTAATATTCTGTTGCTTCAGGTACTGTTGGGTTTATTGAGCATATGGAATGTTTCATTTCTCGGATATCCTGCCAGGGTGAGTATTTCTGCTCCAGATGAGTTTGAATTGCCACTTATTGTGCAATATCTAGTCTTTTTGTCAATTATTCATCTCCTAACACTCTGTTATCGCTCCAGGCAATCTTGCCTTACACCCAGGCCTTGGAAAAATTGGCTCCACACATTCAACAGGCACGTTTACCCCAGCTTCTTTTTCTTTTCCTCTTCTCTTCGTAAAAGACAAAACAGATTGTCTTTGATAAATCCTTATACCTTACTAATTTGCTTTGATTTAGGTTAGCATGGAGAGTAATGGCAAGGGGGTGTCAATTGATGGTGTGCTTCTTCCCTTTGAAGCTGGTGAAATTGATTTTGGTGAACCTGGAACAAATGGACAGCACAGCTTTTATCAATTAATTCACCAGGTAATTTATATAACTATGCATCTAGCAGAATTGATAATGGCAATAATGTTAACAATTTACATTTGTTGGTATAGGTCTTCATCAGTAGTTATAATGAATTCTTAAACTCCGAAAGTGCATGCAGGGATTTATTGTAAAGGTTCCCTACCTTTAATATGCCTTTGTAGTTAACCTGGGTTTCTTTTATCAGTACTTGAATCCTGTCTAATGAGCCCAATCCTCATAGCTTAAGTTCATAATTTTGATGCTCATAATGTGTTGTAGCATCTAAATGTTTTGTTGAAAGAAAGAACTTTAGCTAAGCTTCATATTGCATCCTTGCTATTGTACGGATCTAACCTTTTGCTCAATCTTCACAAATTTGTGAGACATTTAAACTAACTCATCTTCTTGAAACCTTCAGGGACGTGTAATTCCTTGTGATTTTATTGGTGTTGTGAAGAGCCAGCAACCTATCTACCTGAAAGGTAGTTATAAGTTTTTATTTGATTTTCTGAGTGAATTTTATTATTGATGGTTACTTGGAAGGTGTATTTTGATGCTTTGGCATTTTGTTTAGTGCCTTTGAACATAAGTCTGCATTTTTGTTGTAGGTGAAGTGGTGAGTAACCATGATGAACTCATGTCTAACTTTTTTGCACAGCCAGATGCTCTAGCTTATGGGAAGGTAATATTTATTTTCTATCTTGCGGATGTACTTATCATAATTCCTGTCATTTACTATGGTTTCTTGAGTTTGCATTGAGCTGGTTTTAATTTGTACTTTGTTGTGATGTTTACTTTTCCCAATAAGTTAAAAAAGATCTTGCCCTATGGGTCTAGATTATAACTCTTTCATGTGACTTTTGTGAAACACTTGCCTATAAGTGCAAAATCTAATTAAACATCTTTTTCTTGCAGACACCAGAACAGTTGCAAAAAGAGAATGTTCCACCACATCTAATTCCTCACAAGGTAATTTCCTGCTTCTGTACAAGAGTTGGTTTAAAACTGGATGAAAATCCTAACTGTTATGTTATAAATTGTAGACTTTCTCTGGCAATCGGCCTTCTCTCAGCCTTCTGCTTCCAACATTGAGTGCTTACAATATTGGACAGGTTCGTGGTTTCTTACACCTTTTTTGAGGCTGATTTGCATGTCTAATTCTTTTTACTCTTCTTCAAATCATTTGAAATATCTTTCTCTATCAGTGTGCTTGTCGTGTTTGATGTATTTTGTAGTGTGGAAAACTGTTGGAACCCTCCTGCAACACAGAAACTCACGGCAACCAACACACACACACAACGGCAATAGGCACAAGTAATAACTAATGGCAGATTGTATTAATGGATACTGAATGAAAGAACAGAACAAATCCAATTGGAAAACAGATAGTTCCCAGCAATTCGAGGAGCTGGGGCCCTCCCACACAATTTCCAGAATATATAACTTGATATCCTACTCTCCACACTCTCTCCCTTTTATAAGCTAGTTATTCTCTTCTGTAACAGAATTGACAGCCACCTGTCCAGACTCATGACAGACTCCACAATCCTAACAACTTTTATTGCACACCTCAACCCCTGAAAACAAACTCACACCCAACACCTCTTTATTCCTATTCCTTCCTTTGCCCTTGGATTTATAGACCTTATGTATGGGAGGTCTAACAAAAACATGCTTGAATCTTTGTGATTGGCTTTTTCTATATCAACGAACATTGTTATGAGTTTGCTAATTTATCAATTTCAAAATTATGTAATACTATCCTTATCTTTGTGTCTGTGATTGTTGCAATGAACTGACTTGATGTTCAACATGTGTTGACAACTGTGTGCTGGTCACTTCAAGAATGGATAAATTATTGTTATTTGGTTTGCTACATCAAAATGCTACAAACATGTACAATTACATGCCAGATCCCACTATGTGTGCATGTTCCTTTTTCCTTCCTATGTGGTAATAAACTAACTATATGCCGAACAATACAATTGTTACCTGTTTTCTTCAGTTGTTGGCGATCTATGAACACAGAATTGCTGTGGAAGGTTTCATATGGGGCATTAATTCTTTTGATCAGTGGGGAGTTGAGCTAGGGAAGGTATGTGTCACCTAAAAAAACTGTATGATGTGGATTGTTTACTTTCTTAGATAAAGACTTTATTGTCTGTTTCTACTTACGTTGCCTTTCGTGTTAATCACTTTTGCTCTTTGCCTCCTTTTCCTTTCTTAGTAATAAATATATATTCACTTCATATTTGTGAATGCAGTCACTGGCCACTCAAGTCAGAAAGCAACTTCATGCTTCTCGTACTAAAGGAGAACCAGTTGAGGGCTTTAATTTCAGTACTAAAACACTGCTAACAAGATACTTAGAGGTACGGCCTAGAACAGTGTCAGTATGAGGTGTTTACCAGTGATAAAATTAAATCTTGACGTTCAAATAATGTTAATATTCTTGATGTTTTTTAGATGCATCCTCGTTTTGAATGGGTTTCTTTGTTCTGAATAAACAATTCTTGGATGTTACTGCTGTGTGCGGTGTCTAAACTTCTGCTTTTACTTTACAGGCAAGTTCGGATATTCCAGCTGATCCTCCTACTCTTCTACCACGGATATAAAGTGGTTTTTGCTGAAAACTGTTCGGGGAGGATGTATGAACTGATGATTCTGAATTCATATATCATGGACACAACAAAGCTTTTACTGATACTTTTATGTTTGCAATTGTCCCGCCGTAAAGATCATAAAACATCATTATTCTCAAATAAATAAGAGATTGATGCCATGCAGCTACTTAAGCAGAGCTATTTGATGCATTAAATTTTCAAGTGTAATGCTTTGATTATGGAAGAGCTAAATGGAAAAGTTCCTCCTCTCGTGCAATTTTTTTTCTTTATACGGTTTGTAACATATGGTTTCCTTCAGCACAACTCTATTATCTAACCCAGCAAATTGACAACGCATTGCTAATTGGGGACGAAACTAGTAGACTTGACTTGGAGGAAATACATATAATAAGGTTTAAGGAGTAGTTGACGCGTGAATTGGTTATGAAGTAATTCGATGATTCGTGGTTGGCATTGTTTGTCTGCTAGGGTTAAAGGACACACTTTAGCTAACTTGCAAGGTAAAGCCATTTGATTTTTTAAGTTTGACGAGAGATTTCATTAAAGAAAGTCATTACAAGTTTAGCTGATTGGATAAGACACCAAAAGGCATGGAGAGCTCAAATCTATTTCAAATGCTTTCTTCTTCGCTTCCATCACCATCCCCTCCCTTGCCTCTTGTTGGCATCACGGCTCTTATTTTGTTCTACGTTGTAATTTTATACCTAATTATCGACTTAACTACAAATGATATCAACTCACCAAGGACAGAAAATCGTTTTTCGGGGCTATCGGCTGAAGAGATAAAGGAACTCCCTTGTTTTGATTGTGGAGTTAACTTCACTGCAATCTGTGTTGTATGCTTGGATGGTGTCCAGAAAGGAGAGCGTTGCAGGATCTTTCCAGATTGCAAACATGTATTTCATGCCCAATGCATTGATCTTTGGTTGTTAAGGAGACTCACATGTCCAATTTGCCGTTCCCCAATCGCTGATTTCAATGTTGTATAAATGGACTGGTATTGCCACTTTCATCAAATATAGCTGATTTGTACAAAGTGTAATTCTTTGAATCTATTTCGTCAAATTATTTCCAAGCTGTCCAAATCATAAATCATTTCTTCTATTGTTTCTTGAAACCGCCCAGTTTTATCAGTTTAACCGGTTTTCATGATTTGATGAAAATTCAGTGATTTGATGCCAATCATCAATTTAAATAATAGAATAACGTAATATAAGAAAATTAACAGCCAAAAATAACCCATATGTAGTTGGTAGATAGGAAGAACCGTCAACCACTATTGCGGACGACGCCGTTTATACTTGAAGACAGCAAAACAAGTAATTTGGTTGCACACCAACTGTTCATTAAACCTACCTCAAATTCCTGAGTTTATAGTACCATAAAAGTTATAACATAGAACTAACAAAGAGGTTCAAACACCTGTAGATCCAAAACCTCCTTCACCTCGGAGAGTGGAGTCCAAATCTTCAACCACCAGAACATCAGGGGTCATGATCTTTTCAATAATCAACTGGGCAATTCGATCACCAGCTTTCACTTCGAAATCAACGTCTGAATGATTAAACAAAATCACCCCAACTGGACCCCTGTAATCGGCATCTATAACTCCTGCTCCCACGTCCATTGAATGCTTCCACGCCAGCCCCGATCTTGGCGCTGCAAAACAACCCAATCCCATCATTATTTATTAAAGAAAAACTTAAAAAAAAAAAAAAAAAAGGATATATAACATGATACATACCAACACGCGCGTAAGTTCCTTCAGGAATTGCGATGCTCAGATCTGTCGGTACAAGAGCTTTTCCTCTGGCTGGCACCTTCGTCTCTGTTGCGCTATAGACAGAAACACAAATTAAAACCCATAAACTGAAAAAATAATAATTCTAGACATTTACTGGAGAAAATAATCAAACGGTTTGTGGGTTTACCTAGAAAGATCGTAGCCTGCAGCAAGGGGAGAACCTCTTGAAGGCAAAACAGCCTTTTCGGAGAGCTTTTTCACTCTCAATAGAGAACTGATGTTTTGCGAAGCTTCGTGAACGCCGTTTTGGTCGAGTTTCGGGATCTTGGGAGATGGCTCTTTGTCTTCTGGTCTGCCGTTTTGTGTCTCTGCTTGAGGCATTTTGACAACAAATTTTCGTTGTGGCAAAGGATTTGGATATTTGCAGGAACGGCACCCCAGGGGATCATTATATAGAGAAAAACCCGCGACTTGTGATATTCGAAATCTGAAGGCGCCGAATGTTCCCGCCATTTTTCCTCTGTTTTATGACCACACAGTACACAGTACACACTACAAACCACTTCCACAAGCAATAAATTCTCAAAGTGCTCATCGGGCTCAATAAAGAGCCAAATGGAATACAACAAATTCCCCTCTGCAAATAAATTGATTTAAAAGTTTTTTTATTATATTCATAAAATTTACCTTAATGGCTTAATGTATTTGGGATGGATTAGTTTAGAGGTTGTAAATTTAATGCAAGAGAAGTATAAATAGAAAGGATATATATTACCGAGGCGCATANAACAAAGCTTTTACTGATACTTTTATGTTTGCAATTGTCCCGCCGTAAAGATCATAAAACATCATTATTCTCAAATAAATAAGAGATTGATGCCATGCAGCTACTTAAGCAGAGCTATTTGATGCATTAAATTTTCAAGTGTAATGCTTTGATTATGGAAGAGCTAAATGGAAAAGTTCCTCCTCTCGTGCAATTTTTTTTCTTTATACGGTTTGTAACATATGGTTTCCTTCAGCACAACTCTATTATCTAACCCAGCAAATTGACAACGCATTGCTAATTGGGGACGAAACTAGTAGACTTGACTTGGAGGAAATACATATAATAAGGTTTAAGGAGTAGTTGACGCGTGAATTGGTTATGAAGTAATTCGATGATTCGTGGTTGGCATTGTTTGTCTGCTAGGGTTAAAGGACACACTTTAGCTAACTTGCAAGGTAAAGCCATTTGATTTTTTAAGTTTGACGAGAGATTTCATTAAAGAAAGTCATTACAAGTTTAGCTGATTGGATAAGACACCAAAAGGCATGGAGAGCTCAAATCTATTTCAAATGCTTTCTTCTTCGCTTCCATCACCATCCCCTCCCTTGCCTCTTGTTGGCATCACGGCTCTTATTTTGTTCTACGTTGTAATTTTATACCTAATTATCGACTTAACTACAAATGATATCAACTCACCAAGGACAGAAAATCGTTTTTCGGGGCTATCGGCTGAAGAGATAAAGGAACTCCCTTGTTTTGATTGTGGAGTTAACTTCACTGCAATCTGTGTTGTATGCTTGGATGGTGTCCAGAAAGGAGAGCGTTGCAGGATCTTTCCAGATTGCAAACATGTATTTCATGCCCAATGCATTGATCTTTGGTTGTTAAGGAGACTCACATGTCCAATTTGCCGTTCCCCAATCGCTGATTTCAATGTTGTATAAATGGACTGGTATTGCCACTTTCATCAAATATAGCTGATTTGTACAAAGTGTAATTCTTTGAATCTATTTCGTCAAATTATTTCCAAGCTGTCCAAATCATAAATCATTTCTTCTATTGTTTCTTGAAACCGCCCAGTTTTATCAGTTTAACCGGTTTTCATGATTTGATGAAAATTCAGTGATTTGATGCCAATCATCAATTTAAATAATAGAATAACGTAATATAAGAAAATTAACAGCCAAAAATAACCCATATGTAGTTGGTAGATAGGAAGAACCGTCAACCACTATTGCGGACGACGCCGTTTATACTTGAAGACAGCAAAACAAGTAATTTGGTTGCACACCAACTGTTCATTAAACCTACCTCAAATTCCTGAGTTTATAGTACCATAAAAGTTATAACATAGAACTAACAAAGAGGTTCAAACACCTGTAGATCCAAAACCTCCTTCACCTCGGAGAGTGGAGTCCAAATCTTCAACCACCAGAACATCAGGGGTCATGATCTTTTCAATAATCAACTGGGCAATTCGATCACCAGCTTTCACTTCGAAATCAACGTCTGAATGATTAAACAAAATCACCCCAACTGGACCCCTGTAATCGGCATCTATAACTCCTGCTCCCACGTCCATTGAATGCTTCCACGCCAGCCCCGATCTTGGCGCTGCAAAACAACCCAATCCCATCATTATTTATTAAAGAAAAACTTAAAAAAAAAAAAAAAAAAGGATATATAACATGATACATACCAACACGCGCGTAAGTTCCTTCAGGAATTGCGATGCTCAGATCTGTCGGTACAAGAGCTTTTCCTCTGGCTGGCACCTTCGTCTCTGTTGCGCTATAGACAGAAACACAAATTAAAACCCATAAACTGAAAAAATAATAATTCTAGACATTTACTGGAGAAAATAATCAAACGGTTTGTGGGTTTACCTAGAAAGATCGTAGCCTGCAGCAAGGGGAGAACCTCTTGAAGGCAAAACAGCCTTTTCGGAGAGCTTTTTCACTCTCAATAGAGAACTGATGTTTTGCGAAGCTTCGTGAACGCCGTTTTGGTCGAGTTTCGGGATCTTGGGAGATGGCTCTTTGTCTTCTGGTCTGCCGTTTTGTGTCTCTGCTTGAGGCATTTTGACAACAAATTTTCGTTGTGGCAAAGGATTTGGATATTTGCAGGAACGGCACCCCAGGGGATCATTATATAGAGAAAAACCCGCGACTTGTGATATTCGAAATCTGAAGGCGCCGAATGTTCCCGCCATTTTTCCTCTGTTTTATGACCACACAGTACACAGTACACACTACAAACCACTGCCACAAGCAATAAATTCTCAAAGTGCTCATCGAGCTTCTTCAATAAAGAGCCTAATGGAATACAACTAATTCCCCTCTGCAAATAAATTGATTTAAAAGTTTTTTTATTATATTCATAAAATTTACCTTAATGGCTTAATGTATTTGGGATGGATTAGTTTAGAGGTTGTAAATTTAATGCAAGAGAAGTATAGGTAGAAAGGATACATAATACCAAGGAGCATAATTATAAATCGAAAAATCCTAGTTTACAACTTAATCTCACAATCTTCTTTTACAATCTTAACGTATCAACAAATTGACATTGTCATGTCAGTTCCCACCACATTCTAGGCACCCAAGGTATTACGAGAAATGAATGATCCTTCTTTAAAAAAAAAACAGTTGTTCCTTCGTAAAAAATGATTGTTCTTTAAGGAACAACCAAATGAATAGTTGTTCCTCATTGTTAAGGGATGGTCATTCCTTTCACAACGAATGGTTGTTCCTTCATAAGGAACGTCTATACTTTTCGTGAGAAACAGCTATTCATTCATAACGAATAGTCGTTTCTTATGAAGGAACAATCGTTTCCTAAAAATAAACAGTCGTTTCTTTAGTCTAGTCAAATTTATTTTGTGTCTTAGGTGTGGTAGAACTCACGTGACAATGTCAACTCAACTACTACGTCAAGGTTGTAAGAGAAATTTGTAAGAATAGGTTGTAGACGTAACATTGCTCTTATAGATTTTGTGGATTTTCTATCACTTTATAGTTTATATGATATTATTTCATGCATTAACGATAGTGGAAGTAGAAAGAAAATACCAACATTTTTATCAATGATTTATAGTTTATATAATATAAGAACAATACAAAATATAATGGCAGATGAGAAATTTGATATAAGATAAAGTAATAATTTTTGTTTAATCATATCTTATATATATTTTTACATTAAGAGGAAGTATTAAATATTAATATTGGCTTAATATAGTATTATTTTCATATTTTGTAATTAAATAGGTTTCAGTCTAGTTCTAGTATATGAAGCATGGTTGATAGTATCTTACGATACGCGATACGTATCCTATGATACAATTTCATATGGGTTGCCAACATCCAACGATATATATCAGAGAGTGTATACTGAACCTTTTAATACGTTGATATGTATTCTACGATACGATACGTATCCATTTGTATCCTTTAAAATATCAATACAAATCGATACGACTTTATTAATTTAGGCAAAAGGTCTAAAATTTTTTTCAAGTTGAATTCGGGTCACCTAACCTTGTTCACTAAAACCTATACAAATTTACCAATTTTGTATAGAGAAAGTGAAAAGGAATATGTGTTGTCCATTTTGCATGATAATATTAACACAAGTTGAGTTATACATATTGACATTGATATTGGAAATAATATAGATTCTTAATTTTGATTATGTAATATCATAATTTAAAGCCAATAATACCACAAAATTTGTTAATTAATCATGGGGATGATATTAATTTTTAGAAATTTTTTTATTATTTTATTAATTTTTTTGAAAAAGGCGTATCTTGCGATACGATATGACACCGATTTGAAAAATTAGGGCTTCGTTTGATATACTTTTTCAAATATTATTATGGTTTTCTCAATAAAGTTAAATAGAAAAATTGGCTTATTCTTAAAATATTATTTTATATTATTTAATTTCTTTTAAACCCTCATAAATTTTTTAATTTAACTAAACACCCAAATTTTTTTTTTTTTTATAGAAATTGCAAAAACACCCCATCATCCCACATTTACCAGATTCCAGCCACCATTGTCGAAAGTTGGTTGGAATCTAGTATAATGACACACTACCAACTGAATCTGCCTGGTAATGCACTGGAAAATGCTAGATCTACGGCCAGATCTTTGGCTGCAGTTAGTCGTCAATGATGGCGGCATCTTTGGTCGTCGTTGATGACCAAATACGACCAGATTTGACTGTCAATGGCTAGATCTAATTGTAAATCTGGTAAAAAAATGCCATATCGGCACACGACTGACAAGATCTAGTCGGTCATGTGTCGATACAGTGACTCCAGCCACCTTTCGACGGTGATGGTCAATTGTCTGTATTTAATGGGTGGGTTGAGGGTATTTTCGTTAACTTTTAATATTTTATTATAGGGATGTTTAGTAAATAAACAAATATAAGGGGTATTTTTGTTAATTTCTAAATTTTACATTGTAATACGGATCTAATTTAATTTTTTTTCAAAATATTACTATAAAAAGTATAAAAAATAAACTAAATAGACCTAAATTTTTAATACACGATACGATATACGATTTGATTTAACAACGAGAGAGCTAAAAAAACGGAGCATGATGACGCGCCATGACACCTGACACGTCATCAATCTAAGGGCTTCAAGCCGTCAGATCAAGCTCTCGCAAAGTGGATACACTTCTACTGTTCTACACTTCTACTTCAGCCCTCAAGACTAAAATCGTCTTCTTCTGATTTCACTTTAACTTGCGCAGATAGCGGCGCATTGCGCACACTTAAACTAACCAAAAGGATTAAAAGAAATCAGATAATCCTACTCCTTCAACTTCTCCCACGACCACCAA